AAAAAAAAAAAAAAAGAGTCTTAAGGACTTTCCTGTCTGGGCTAGCATTGAACCATGATCCTCAGATCTCAGGCTCATGAGTAAGTAAGATTATAGGCATGAGCCACTGGCGCCCAGCTTCTATGAGATTCTTATTTCCAATTAATCACCAGAAAACCAGAAGTGGCTCTGTGGCTCAAAGTAGTAGAGCACTAGCTTTCAGTGAAAAAGCTTAGTGAGAGTGAATGGCCAGTCCCTGAGTTCAAGCCCCACAAGTGACAGAAGAAAAAGGGAAAAAAGATACATTTTAGTTATTAGTTCAGCTATACTTAGCATGTGAAATATGTTTTTTTTAATTTGTGATTTTACAGGTGAACATGATTAAAGATGATGGGACAGTTATTCATTTCAACAACCCCAAAGTCCAAGCTTCCCTCTCCGCTAACACCTTTGCAATTACTGGTCATGCAGAAGCTAAACCAATCACAGAAATGCTTCCTGGAATATTAAGTCAGCTCGGGGCTGACAGCTTAACAAGTCTCAGGAAGTTAGCAGAACAGTTCCCACGGCAAGGTAAGTATTGTAATTTAGTACCCTTTTTCTTCCGCACTTTAATTAAAGAACTTGATAACTTAAAAGATGTCCAGTCCTTTTTTATTTTTTTTAAGTAGTGCTGGGATGTGCTCTACCAGTGCCCAACCAAAAGGGAATATGTAATTATTTTACATAAATTGTATGCTTCATAAATTTCCAAGATAATTTTAGTCTTGATATCAAATATATCTTTTGCCCCTGGAAATCTGAGATTCATATTTCAGTGTTCATGCTGCATTAAAAATAAATGGGAAAAAAAGTAAAAACTAAAAATAAATGGAAAAAATCATGAATTAATTTATTTAGCTAATATGAACAAACTATAATAATATATTTTTACTCTAGTTTATCTAGATGATTCCACTTTGCATATAACATTTACCTTTGTATTGCATTTGCCACTATATTTTGTGTATATCTAAGTTAAAGAGATTTTTTTTCCAGTCATGGGGCCTGAACTCTGGGCCGGGTGCTCTTCAGCTCACGGCTAGTGCTCTACCACTTGAGCCATAGTACCACTTCCAGTTTTCTGGTGGTTAATTGGAGATAAGCATCTCACAGACTTTAATGCCTAGGCTGGCTTTGAATTGCATTTCTGATATCTCAGCCTCCTGAGTAGCTAGGATTACAGGTGTGAGCCACTGGCACCCGGCTTAAAGTTTTGTTTTTTTTTGGGGGGGGCGGTTTGGTCTTGTGGGGTCTGAAGGGGCCTGGGCACTGTTCCTCAGTTCTTCAGCTCAAGGCTAGTGCTCTACCACTTGAGCCACAGCGCCACTTCCGGCTTTTTTCTTTTTGCTTATGTGGTGCTGAGGAATCAAACCCAGGGCCTCATGCATGCAAGGCAAGAGCTTTGCCACTGAGCCACCTTCCCAGCCCCGGCTTAACGTTTTATTGATTTTAATATTACTTAAGAAAAACAAAAATGATTTTAGATTGACCAGTAGTTAGATTTTCTGATCAGCTATATGACATTTAGATAAGAATTAAATTACATATGTTCTGTAATGGTCTTCATTTTTCATGACTAATATTAAAACAAACTTTTTGTAGTGTTGGATAGCAAAACACCAAAACCAGAAGACATCGATGAAGAGGATGATGATGTTCCAGGTAAAGCACATTCCTTATTCTTTCTCTCTCTTTTTTTTTTTAGTTAAGCAAAAAATTTAACTAGAAGGCAAATGAAAAAGAAATGAAAGCTTTAACAGAATTATGAAGAATTTTGTGTTTCTTTCATAATACGCACTGGTCAAACATACTCTTGACATAAAGAGTTGTCATCCAGTAATGTAACAATATATATCCTGTATTAACATTGTTACATGTTTTTACAATGTAACATTTACAGACTCTCTTTCTGTGTGTGTGTGTGTGTGTTTGTGTGTGCGCGTGCGCGCGTGTGTGCGCGCGCGCGTATCTGTATTTCATATACAACTATACAGGAAAAAATGTTGAATTAATTTAATGAATCTTAATCATTTCTTGTTAAAAAAGTAATTTATATCAACAACTGAGATTTCTTTTAGTCTTAGGTTTTGGGTTTTTTTTTTAAGTTTTGTACCAATCCTGGGGCTTGAACCAAGGACTGGATGCTGTCCCTGAGCTTATGTACTCAAAGCTAGTGCTCTACCATTTGAGCCATAGTTCTACTTCTGGCTTTTGGGTGGCTAATTGGAGAGAAGTCTCATGGACTTTCCCACCTGCCCTGGCTTCAAACCATTATTTCTTAGATCTCAGTTTCCTTAATAGCTAAGATTACAGGCATGAACCACTGGAACCTGGCTTAGTCTTAAGACTTTTTTTTCATATTTTTTTATTGTGAAAATACTGTACAGAGGGGTTATAATTACATGGGCAAGATAATGAATACATTTCTTTTTGTTTGTTTGTTTGTTTTTGTTTTTGGGTCCAGTCGTGGGGCCTGAACTCTGGGCCTGGGCGCTGTCCCTCAGCTCTTCAGCTCAAAGCTAGCGCTCTACCACTTGAGCCACAGCACCACTTCTGCTTTTTTTCTCTCTTTGCTTATGTGGTGCTGAGGAATCGAACCCAGGGCTTCATTCATGCAAGGCAAGCGCTCTACCACTGAGCCACCTTCCTAGCCCCAATGAATACATTTCTTTTCAAGCATTGTAGCCTCCTCCTTTGTTTCCCCTTCCCATCCCTTCCCATCCTCCCCCTGTTAAGACTTTTTTTTTAACATCCTTTTAATCTCATTTCACTTCCTATATAGATAACTTTTAAGATTTTGTTGATTGTGAGTTCTTAATTTGATTTACAATGGTATGGATAGGATCTAATGAAAAGGATAAAGTCCTCTCACTTAGAACTTAGAATCAGCAATTGTCACATAAGGCTTTATTGCTTGTATTTGTTAAGTTGAAATCACTGTCATTAAAAATATGCAGTTATTTAGAAAATTATAAATTGACATATGAATTATAAATTGACATGAGAATGGAATTTGCCATAGTTGGCTTAAATTTTAAAAATGATAAACATTTCTAAGACTATTGTTTTAAATTAAGCAGATAAATGAGTCAATATTAGTAAAATGCTACCAGTTCATTTTGCCTTGTTCTAATTTGGCTAATCTTAGTTGTAATAATTTTGCTTTTATTGAGGTTATAAGTTAGATATTCCATTTACTTTTTTCTTTTTGTTTGAATCATTTACTTTTTTTCTTTCTTTTTTGCCAGATCTTGTAGAAAATTTTGATGAAGCATCAAAGAATGAAGCAAACTAAAATCTTTTCTGGTTTTTGGAAGCTGGCATGGACTAGATTTAACAAATCAGCTATGTGGTTCCAAAGTTTCACAGACATGGAGAGCATCACATTACTAGTACAGTAATATAAATATTTTGTATATTAACAATGCTGTTTATTCAGCATTTTTTTGGTCATTTGATTTTGCATTTTGCACTTCCAGGATCTATACTTTTGGTCAAAATATGAAGTAGTGGTGCAGTTTGAGGGTGTTTTGGTTTTAGATTCTTCTTTTTGTGGGGGGGTATCTTTGGTGTATGTATGTATATGTATGCGTGTGGTATGTGTGTTCACAGTGGAGAGCAAATTGGAAGACAGTTCTATTTATCCTCTCCTTCTCTAGTAGAAATAAAACAAATCTTTCCACTTGTTACCTTTTTTTCCCCCCCAATAATGCACAGAATTAATGAAAAAATGAGTATTTGACTTCAGATCTAAAGAGTTTTGTTTTTTATATCATTGGAGGTCTGGTTTTAATTTACTTGGTTAACTATCATAGTTTTCATGTATTTTTCTGGGTTTAAAATGTCTTGAGACATTTTTGCCATCCCTTGTAGCTGAAGTGTAACAAGTTGGGCATCTTTGGTGTGATTGCCTTAGGTTCACTCTACCTATTCAGACCCAGAAGAACTTCTTTTACTACCTTTCTTCCTGATAGGCTATTTCCCCTCTCCTTTTGGTCTTTAAATAGCCTGATCAGTCTTTGGTAATTAATATTCTTCCTCACCTTCTGCCTAGCCTGAGAGGAATGTTCTCCATTCAGAGTTAAGTGAGTGCCTAGTACCTCTTTTTGTAAGATTTTTGTTCCCTTATCTTGAGGAACAGCAACTCCATCTTCAGCTTTTTATTTCTCCTCAATGTTACCGTTTGGTAGACTTCAAACTAAAATAGCATGTGCTTTCTTTTTTTTTTTTTTAAGCATGTGCTTGCCATAAAACATTTATGCCAGCCATATCCTGTATCCTAGCTGTCCTCAGGAGCAGGTGCAAGAATGCCTCTTTTCTGGCAAAGCTGACATTTGGAATGTCCTTTTTAATGAGAAAAAAATAGGCCATAGACTCATCCTCTAGCACAAACGGGCATTCCATGACATGGTACTGGCCTCAAGAGGATTCCTTCATCACTCCTACTCTTGGCCTTGAACCTACCTCTGGGTTAGATCTTATTGTAACTGCTCACAACACCCTCGCATGCTTATAACAATGCTTTGAGGGGGGAGCACTATAAAACACAGTATTTATTTATTTTTTCACTTTTTAGAGGTCTTGGAGATAAGTTGCATTCATTCACTCAAGTTTCCTTCTTGCTATCTGCTAAAAGCTTGCATTTTGCATATCAGCATTAATTATATACAATATTTTAGGATAAGATTTAGAAAATCTGTAATTTTTCTGGCCCATCACCATATTAACTGCAGCTTAACCTTACAGCATTCCAACTTTTGTTTCAAGGTAGATACCTTTACTTGATATTTAAAGTTCAAGACCAACAACATGAGAAATCTGTAGACATGAAGGCATCGTTCTTGTGGAGGTTTTTTTCTTTTTCATCCAAACACCTCAAATTCTATTTTATAAATTTGTTGATTTTCCTGTTATGTTTTATTTAATATATGGACTTAATAAAATAACAGTAATAAAATAACAGTACAAAGGAGGACAGTGTTTCCTCTTGTGCTTCTCTTATTATTGTCTATAAAATTTCCTTCTTTTGTGTTTCTCCTCCACTCTCCACCCCCAATGAATTTTAGTGCAGTAATTGTTTGAAATAATGTCTCATCATAATAGCTGCACATGTTCTAAATAGTTCAAATGTCTCTCCTCCAACTACCCCAAAGGAATATGTTGTATTGCAGAGAATATTAGGGTGGACCACTCAAATGTTAGGGACAAGTAAGAAATAGGCAGGGCCTGGGTGTTGGTGGCTCATGCCTATAACCTTAGCTACTCAGGACTCTGAGATCTGAGGATCACAGTTTAAAGCCAGCTTGGGCAGGAGAGTCCAGAAGACTCTTATGTCTCATTATGCACAAAAACTGTGTGTCTGATAGTAAAACACTAGCCTTGAGCAAAAATGGTCAAGGACAGAACAGGCATGGTGGCTCATGCCTGTAATCTGAGCTAGTCAAGAGGAAGAGATCTGAGGATCACAGTTCTAAGTGAGCCCAGACAGGAAAGGCAATGAGACTTAACACCAATAAGCCGCTCAGAAAACCGGAGGTGCACTGTGGCTCAAGTAGTGGAGCTCTAGCCTTGACCTAAAGAGCTGAAGGACAGTACCCAGACCCCAGAGTTCAAGCCCCTCAATGACAAAAAAAGAGAAAGAAAAGCTTGACAGCCCCCAGGCACAGAACCAGAAAAAAAACGGATAGGCAGTATAATGAATGAAAAAAAAAAGGGGGGGGAAAAACACCTCTAGAAAGGAGCCTTTTCTGGATCAGACACCATGGAAAGAAATTAAATAGGAAATGGAAATTAAAGAAATTAAGTGGAGGGCTGGGAAGGTGGCCCAGTGGTAGAGCGCTTGCCTTGCATGCCTGAGGCCCTGGGTTCGATTCCTCAGCACCACATAAGCAAAAAAGAAAAAAGCCGGAAGTGGCGCTGTGGCTCAAGTGATAGAGCGCTAGCCTTGATCTGAAGAGCTGAGGGACAGCGCCCAGGCCCAGAGTTCAGGCCCCACAACTGGACCCCCCCCAAAAAAAAAGAAATTAAGTGGAAATGGAAAGAAATGCTGTTTTACTGAATTGGAAAGCTGAATATTGGTAACATGTCAACACTGTTCAAGGTGGTAGTATACAGGTTCACTGTAACCCAAATCCAAATGCTGTTTTGGAAGGGTTTAGCCTTTCCAAAAACTCACATGGAATCTTAAGAGACACAGAATAGCCAAAACAGTTGAAAGATAAAATTTCAGACTCAATTCCTGATTGCAAAGGTGATTACTACAAAGCCAAATAAAAACCAAACAATTCAAAAGTACTAGTATAAAGAAATACATAGCCAGGCACCAGTGGCTCATACCTGTAATCGTAGGTACTCAGGAGGCTGAGATCTGAGGATCACAGTTCAAAGCCAGCCTGGGCAGGAAAATCCATGAGAATCTTATCTCCAATTAACCACCAAAAAACGAAGTGGCTTTGTGGCTCAAGTGGTAGAGCACTGGCCTTGAGCTGAAGAGCTCAGGGACAGTGTCCAAGCCCAGAGTTCAAGCCCCACAACCAACAACAACAAAAAAAAGAAATGTATAGATCAATGAAATAACATCGAACCTAGAAGGAAACCCTCAAATGTATGGTTTAATGCTTTTCAATAGGGGTGTCATGACCCATTTCAGTGGGATAATACTTCCAGCAAATATTACTGAGAAAATGATATCCACTGGGCTGGGAAGGTGGCTCAGTGGTAGAGTGCTTGCCTTGCACGCATGAGGCCCTGGGTTCAATTCCTCAGCACCACATAAGCAGAAAAAAAAAGCCAGAAGTGACGCTGTGGCTCAAGTGGTAGAGTGCTAGCCCTGAGCTGAAGGGCTGAGGGACAGCACCCAGGCCCAGAGTTCAGGCCCCATGACCGACAAAAAAAAAAAAAGATACCCACTGTAAAAGAATGAAGTTGTGGGGCTGGGAAGGTAGCTCAGCGGTAGAGTGCATGCCTTGCAAACATGAGGCCCTGGATTCGATTCCTCAGCACCACATAAACAGAAAAAGCTGGAAGTGGCACTGTGGCTCCAGTGGTAGAGCACTAGCCTTGAGCTGAAGAGCTGAGGGACAGCGCCCAGACCCAGAGTTCAGGCCCCATGACCAGTAAAACAAAAACAAAACAAAAAAAAAGAATGAAGTTGTATTCTAGCTTCATACCATACACAAATATCTCAAAATAGATTAAAAAAACTATAAAGGGAAGCTTCATGACCTAAATTTGAAAATGATTGCTTGTATATGATACTCAGATAAGTGCAGGCAACAACAAAAGATACATGTACTACATCAAAATATAAAAATACAAGGAAACATCCTACAGAATGTAAAGAAAATACTTGTAAATCAAGTATTAGATAATGAGCATTCAAAAGATGTAAACTACATTTCAGTGATAAAGCCCAACATAGAAATAGGCAAAGGAAGAAAAGTTTCTCTGAAAAAGATAGACAGCTGGGACCAGTGCCTCAATCCTGTAATCCTAGCTACTCAGGAAGTTGAGATCTCGGTGTCATGGTTTGAAGCCAACTTGGACAAGAAGTCTGTGAAAATCTTATCTCTGATTAACCACTAAAAAGCCAGACTCAAGAGGGTACTAGCCTTGAGCACAAAAGCTTAGGAGCAGTGCTTAGGTCCTCAGTTCAAGCCCCAAGACCAGCACCCACACAAAAAGCCTATGCCAGTAAGTATATGAAAAGATGCTCAGTATCATGGGCTCTGGTGGCTCATGCCTGTAATCCTAGCTAGTCAGGAGGCTGAGATCTGAGGATCGCGGTTCAAAGCCAGCCCAGGCAGGAGAGACTGTGAGACTCATCTCCAATAAACCACCAGAAAACCGGAAGTGGCGCTGTAGCTCAAATGGTAGAGCGCTTGCCTTGAGCTGAAGAGCTGAGGGACAGCACCCAGGCCTAGAGTTCAAGCCCCACGACCGACCAAAAAGAAAGAAAGAAAGAAATGTCTATCAGAATATGCCTATCACTTGCACACAGAGCTTAGATAACTTTTCAGTACCTGCCTTTTCCTCAGACATAACATGATTATACCAGGAATATTTATTCCAATACCAGAATATTGATTCACAGTCCAACAAACTTTTTTTTTTTTTT